TATTTTTCCATTGATTTTTAGAGAGAGTGGAAAAGAGAGGGAAAGACAGAGAGAAATATCTATGTGAGAGAAACACATCGATTTGTTGCCTCCTGCAGGAGCCCCAAACAGGGTCTGGGCCGGGGAGGAGCCTGCAACGCAGGTACGTGCCCTTGACCGGAATCAAACCCGGGACCCTACCGTTTTCAGGCCGACGCTCTATCCACTGAGCCAAACCGGTTTCGGCAGTACCTGATTCTTGATCTACTCAAGGAAATAGGACAACCAGGTTGATCTATGATCTTAAGACAGGTTCATTTATTTTCTAGTTAAATGTTAAAGACCTTTAAATTCTATAGAATCTAAAATTTATACATTTTTTCTGTCTCATGATACCATTGAACTTTTTAGCCTAAAGTAAATAAATGTATTTTCTATTGGAAGATCTTTAAATAAGATACCAGAGATATACATGTCTTTTCTATTTAAAGACCTTTGAACTTAATGGAATCTTGAATTCTTTCCTATCCTTAGGACTACACAATGGTTATAGATGTTTAAATGATCGCCAGTTGAGTTTTGATATTCCTCTTGATCAAGCCAGATCTGAGTTGTAAAAGATGAGGTCATTCTTCTGCAATTGTATGGGGAGGGAGGAGGAAATTCAGAGAGTCTTCATCTAATGGCTTCTGAGTTCTCTGTAAAATAGGACGTGAAGTTGTCTGATAGAGGAGGTGGGGGTTACATGGCAAGAGGATGAGAAAAAAAAGGTTTAAAATAACTATATTTGATAATGGAAGATCTGAGTAGGTCCAGTCTGTCTACTTTATAGTCTCAAAAGTTTGTGACATTAAAGCCATTTAAAGTGGAGACAGTACTCATGGTGAGAGAGAATTATAATTCATGCTGAACATTTAGTTTATATGGTTTTTGTATTAAACATGCACAGTTAGTCATTTGAGTATTTGCCACTGATAAATATTCTTCACAGCTGATTAGGTCACATCTCAATGTCAAAGGAGCTTTATTAATAAATCAATTGAAGTTGTCACTTATTATACTGCAAAAAGTTCCAAATTTATTTCACAGTTATTTCCATTTGCTAGTTAATTACCAGCTGTCAGAACATATTAAGTATTGTAAATTTGAGTCAGAAGCTGTCACCCTTAAGTGTATTAACTCTCCTTAATCACATAGGTAGTGATTTTTTCCATAAAAGAATGATATTAATCACCAGCTTACATATATCTTCATGATGGTATAAAATTGCCATTGGCTTCCATTGCCAGAGTGAATTAAATCAATGTAGACTCCAAAAATGAAAGCTCACAGTCATGAATCATGAGTATTTCCATTCATGTTAACAGGCTTTTCATTGTTTCCAACAGAAAAAAATGTCAGCCAACTTTCAAAGCTTTTTACTTCTTAGTGTTAAAAATGTAGTTTCTTATTATTGTTATTATTAATTATTATTATTATTACTAGTTAACATTTATGAAGTATTTCTTAAGTGCCAGGAACTATGCTCACAGTTTTATATGAATTATTTCTTTTAATCTCCACAATAAACCTCTGAGGCCATTGGTTCTTATACAGAAGGTGTTTATACTACCATACCTTGTGTTCTGTAATGAAGTAAACAATGGCTTAAAGGACTTGAGTAACTTGTTGCCCAAAATGGCACAGCCTAGAGTCAAACCCAAGCAATTTAATTCTATAACCTTTTCTCTTGACCAGCAGTGTACACTGGTGGATGGTGTTTGATATTTACAGGTGAACCAGTTAGGAATGCATTTGGGTACAAGTAATTAAAATCCAATTATAGTTGCTTATAAAATAGCAATTTGGGTGTGTTTTTTTCTCACTTGACAGAAAGAATGGAGATAGGCAGCTACTCACATTGGGTTAGGAGCTCAGCAGTGGCAGCACCAGTATCTGGAATTCCCTGGACTTTCCCTTATGGCAGCAAAAATGGCTGCTTCTGTTTGAAGCATTATGTCTACATTCAGGGCAGGATAAAGGGAGAGGGAAAGAGCTGGCACTGGCCATAACTTTATAATTCATTATGAAAACAAAGTGTTCCCAGTTATATCTCATTAATTTAAAACTGTTTCACATGTTTACTCTTTCTTAAAAAAAATGTTTGGCCCAGCCTGCATAGCTCAGTGGTTGAGCGTCAACCCATGAACCAGGAGGTCACGGTTCAATTTCCAGTCAGGTCACATGCCTGGTGTGCGGGCTTGATCCCCAGTGTGGGGCATGCAGGAGGCAGCCGATCAATGATTCTCTTTCATCATTGATGTTTCTATCTCTCTCCCTCTCCCTTCCTCTCTGAAATAAATAAAAATATTTTTTTAAAAAATATGTTTGTACTGATTTTAGAGAGAGAGAGGAAAGGAAAGGGGAGAGAGAGAGAGAGAGAACATCAATGAGAGATCGGCTGCCTCCTGCATGTTCCCTACTGGGGATTGAGCCCACAACCCAGGCATGTGCCCTGACTGGGAATCAAACCAGAGACATCTAGGTGCCTGGGACAACGCTCAACCAACTGAGCCACACCAGTCAGGGCCACACGTCCACTTTTATCTGCAAGAATGGCAGGCAGCAGGGAAAAGGGAGTTGGAGATGACTGATAGACCAGGCTTGGGTCAAAAGTTATAGAATTTACAAACTTTGAAGGAATTTTTCACTTCTCTCTTAACTACTTTCTTTCTTTTTGGAGTGAAAGAACTGTGATTCTCCAAGTCCTAATATGTTCTTGCCTCATTTTTTAGAATGTATCCTATATAATAAAAAGCTAATGTGCAAATTTTCCCCTCAACTGGGAGTTCGACCAGGGAGCAGGGCCAGCCAACTGCCTGAGGCCCCTCCCCCTGGTCAGCCCCGTCCCTGATCAGCCCCCACCCCCACCCCGTTCAGGGCTGGCCGGATCCCACCCATGCACGAATTCGTGCACCAGGCCTCTAGTTCCTAGATAATAAGAGAAAGCCATGGTTTCACTAATTGGATCAGAATGCATTGGTTGCAAGTATTGCACACTTAAGAAAACAGATGAATTTTAGTTATTTATTCAACAAATAAATGTATTGAGCACTCATTATATACCATGCACTCTTCTGGGGATACATGAGTGGAGAGGAGGAGAAAAGAGAAACACACACACACACACCCACACACACCATGTAGGAATCTCATGGAACCCAAAGATAGGAATGCAGCAGAACCTCGAAGAGGAAGAGGAACCAGGGCTGAGGCGGTATCAGGAATTTGAACAGATCCTCTGAATATATCTCCTTCACTCTGCTCATGCTGCTTCCTCTGAATTCTTCGCCTGCCAGGTGGATAGAATATGGTCGCCCTACATTCCCCGAGTTTCCATCTTCTATTCAAGCAACCAGTCTCTCTCAGTCCTAATTCAAACACCTAAGCAAGAGGATTTGAATCCACTGAGCCCATGGACAGGGAGAGATATGGTTGCAGGGGTCATTGTGAGTGGAGTGGACACTTTGAAAGCTGTCTACCTTAAAAGGCTACCTGTTGCTGCTTCGATTTCCAGGCTCACTGATGCTTTTCTAGACACTTTGCCTATCACCTATGGCAAAGCTCCCTCCTACATGCCCCCAGAGATTTGAAAATTCACTCCACCATGAGAAGCACAGTTGTTTAGTTCTCTACAAATCGCGTGAGTCAGAGTTGTTCTGAACTTTTTCAAATCACTCTTGTGCCCCTTTCCCCCCACAGCCCTGTCCAGATGATGGGAGATTCGAGTCAGAGTTGTTTTGAACTTTTGCAAATCACTCTTGTGCCCTAATATATTAAATCCTTTCCCCCCACAGCCCTGTCCAGATGATGGGAGATTTGAGTCTTGGTTAACATCAAACTCCCTTCTTCTCACTTCATGCCAAATCCTCAGAAGCCAATACCACGAGTAATCAGTTTGGTTCCAAAGTACATATTGCAGTGTGGGTTGGTATATTCTTTTATGGCCTTTATAAACTGCAAGCCAGTGAGGCACGGTTCTTGGTGATTTAAAAATCAAACAAAAATATCTTTGCTTCAAACAAATGCATGCTTTTGAATTTCTGATCTCATGGCTAATCTGTTTTTCTACAGGCTGTGGATTCCCCTCCACAAGGAGGCGGATGGGCAGGCTGGGGATCCTGGGGCAAATCTCTGCTCTCATCAGCATCTGCCACAGTAGGTAAGCATTAAATCTTGCATTTGAATGGATAAAGTTCAGAAGCCTAAAAGGATATGATAGTTTAGTCATACTATGTGCTGATACAGTTTAACATTAGCCTCTAAGATCATCATTTTTAGTGTTCTAAGTGCTTCATATATATTAATGCATTTATTCCTCAAAATAGACCTATAAGAGCATACTCTTATTTTCTCCATTTTCTCCAGCTGAATCACAGAGAGGCAAAGACCTTGTCCAAAGTGAGGAGTGGCTGGGTTGAGATTTGAACCAAGGAGTATGGCTTTTTATATAAAAACCACTATATGATATTGACTCTTAAAATATAAGATTTGGGCTTTTTAAAATATATTGTTAAAGCTTTGTACATATCATTTCACTTAAATATTTTAAAATGTACAATGAACATACCAAAAAGGATCCACAAATGGTACTTTTGAGGTATCTATAAAAGGCACTTCATCAGCAGAGCACTGAAATACAAATAGAAATAATTATGCAGGTAGGAAGGATATATAATATATATTTAATATATCCCAAAGCTAATAGAGTTACTGTAATTGAGCAATGACCTTACTGTCAATAGAGTTACTGTAACTGAGCTTTTTGGCTGCCGGTATTTCTCACTGAATGATAAAATAAAACTTAGTTCACCTAGCCTTGGCCAAGTGGCTCAGTTGGTTGGAGTATTGTCCCAGGCACCAAAAGGATCTTAGACTGGGGTTTATCTGGGAGGCAAGCGATTGATCTCTCTCTCGCTCTCTCTCTCTCTCTCTCTCTCTCTCTTCCTTTCTCTCTAAAATCAATAAAAATACATGTCCTTGGGTGAGGATTAATAAGAAAAAAAAACTTATTTTAGCTAGATAAATTTATTATTTTATATGGTATTAAATTTTTGAAGCAGTTTCTTCTATTGGCCCTTTTTTGTTGTTGTTAATCCTCACCCCAGGATACTTTTTCCATTGATTTGTAGAGAGAGTGAAAGGGCAGGATGGAGGGGGCAAAGAGAGAGAGAGAGGGAGAGAGAAACATTGATGTGAGAGAGATACATCCATCAGTTGCCTCCTGCACACGCCCCAACCTGGTAGGGATGGAACCTGCAACCCACGTACATGCCTTTGACTGGGAATGACCAGAATCTAACCTGAGACCCTTTGGTGTGTGGGCCACTGTTCTAACCATTTAGAAACACTGGCCAGAGAACTATTGGCTCTTATGCAAGGAGAAAATATAATGAACAATGTCGTCATCAGTGTAGGTTTGTCAAAATATTCTTCATGTGTCCTTTCCTTACATCCACTTTTCATGAAAACTGAGGGTATAACACCAACATGCCTAAGATAATTTAGCAAAGGCATTTCATCTTGAAGCTAGAGAGTGAGGAGCAGGACAGGGGAAGTCACAAATAACATAGCTTTCACATCATTCAATTCGGGTGTCTCAAGGTATAGTTCACGGCCATGAGCATCTTGAGATAGACCATGATTGGCCCAATCTGTTGTTACTTCTTAAACCAGGAGGGTTAGGAAGGTCTGAAGGTCTTTTGCTCTGCTGCAGGGGACCATGGTCACAAGCAATTTAAGGACCAGATATCTAATTTGATAAGATTTAGACTTACCGGAAGAATGGATAGATTATCCCCCCTAATTCCATGTCTGTGAAATATCACGAGAGCTCCGGCAGGAAGTAGACGGTGTTTAAATAAATGTCGGCCTCTTTGGCGAGAGCTTGGAGAGAGATTTTTCTCTATGCTACTTGTAGGGGACAGGTGTGCAGTGGGCACTATATTCGGAGATGGAAAAATTAGCCAAATTAAAGCAGAGAAACCTGTGTTGTCTGAACAGGACAGAATCTCTTCATGAGAGTGAGAATAAGCACCTACAGGCAGCCTGCTTCGGGGAAAACATTGGAGTGGCTCACAAATGGATCTTGCCACTGGCAGCACTTAGGACTGACATGCTTCCTGAACCAAAACCTACAAGTGTGGAATCCAAAAGTTTTTGAAATTGGGAGAAGTCATGGAAAAGTAAATAATATGGTCACGGAATTCTACAGCTGTCCTCACGATTGACGTCATTAACAGCAAAGTGTTTTGCGTGCTTCCAGTTATGATGGTGTCGAGAGCTGCCCTGGTTTTATAACAAATTCAGTGCTTTAGAAGGTTCTTTTATAGACAAAGGATGTGCTTTCATGTTAAATATAAGCTCCTTCCACGGTAAATGCAGAAATGTGTGCACACTTCCAGGTGCACCTGCCGGTAACCGCTCTGCCCTAGCTGGTCTGACTCTTTGCTCTTGTTTCTCATCGGTCAACAGCTACAGCTCATCCTTTGACTTTGGGCTTCTCTGGACCCTTACAAGGTTTTCCATCCACCAACTGACAGCTCGCCTGTTGAATTTACCACCTAGCATCTTAGGTATCCTGTTGTAATCTGACCTTCGCACACGTACGGCCTAGTGCAGCCTTGGTCTCAGTAGACTGTGCTGCAAAGTCTCTGGGTTCTGTTACCTAGTTCAAGTATAGCCAGTAGTAGATGATGTGGTTTCACTGCTTAAAAAGCACAGTGTTATTTCTGTGGCAGGTCTCACCCAATGCTGGTAGCCACTCATCTTTTAACTTGATCGGAAGTCAATGTCTTTTATCTGCAGCCTGTGCTTGTGTTTGGTGTTGCTCTTGAAGTTTCCCTGTGTCTAAGTTACCATGAAGATGATAAATGATGTATCTTATTAATATGTATGTGTTTTCCAATGGTCTTAGACGACCCCTGTGAAAGGGTCGTTCGACCCCCAAAGGGGTCGCAACCCACAGGTTGAGAACCGCTGGCCTAGAGAGATAAGTGCCCTTGAGCCAGCATGATTGCCGTGTCACCTTCCCTCTTCTGGTTGGTGGATATGCTGTTTCTCTGAGATTGTAGGACATTTGCACATTGGCCGATATAATATCCAAATGATGTTCAGTATATCCTCTTGCGTTCATTTCTATTGCTGTGGAACAAATTCCCATGAATTTGGCGACTTTAGAACAACATTGATTAGCTCACAGTTTCTGTGGGGCAGGACTTTAGGCGCAGGATAGCTAGGTCTGCTGCTCAGTGTCTTACCAGGCTGAAATCGAGGTGCCAGCCCACTGCATTCTCACCTGATGCTCAGGGTCATTTTCAAAGTTATATAGGGTGGTGACAGAACTTAGCTCCTTGCAACTGTAGGGCTGCTATCCCCATTTTCTTGCTGGTTCTTAACCAGGGGTCATTCTCAGCCCCTTGAGGCAGCCCTCAGGCCCTTCTTCAAAGCCAGCAGAATAATCTCCCTCATACTTTAAATCTTTCCCTTTAGGAGTCCTTTTAAAGACTCGCCTGATTAGTTCAGGCCCACCAACAATGATTTCTCTTGTGATTAGCTCAAATCCAACTGATTAAGGACTTTAATTACATTTGAAAAATCCCTTCATGTTTTCCCTATAACATAACTAATCATGGGAGTGAAAGCCCATTATATTCACAATCTTGTTCACACTTTAAGGTTGAGAGTCAGGGGGGTGGGAGGAAGAAGGTGTTTACATCACCAATTTTAGAAACTTGGCATCTTTTGATGACTCTGGCTACATGATGGAATTTTGAAAAGTGTTTGAATCTTGGCATTTTTCTCTTGTTTGTACCATCAATAGTCAAAGGGCACATGAGGGAGACCAAAGAAATTTTGAAACATTGATGCTCGTCCTAAGAGTCCGTTTGGACAAATTGGAGCTATCTTGTCCGTCACCACTGGTCATCACAACCCTAATGCATGCAAAAGCAATATAACTGAATACCTCCCGTAAGTTGCTCCTAAGGCATATTTCGGAGATTTCTGATCTGGATGTGCTATCACTTTACAGAGTAATAGTAGCTAAAATAATACCCGTATGTACTTCAAAACTGGATACGTTATCTTTGTGAACCTGATAGAGAAATAAAGCAGGTATCATAAGGGGAGGCTGAAGTCATGGGTTCTAGAGCAGGAAACAGAAAGTGGTGGTGCATGGGAGTTGAACTCCCAAAAGATAATTAAGGGATCACAAATGTCCCACAAATGGAGAGGTGTCATAGCTGGGCTCAAAGCCTGCAATAGGGTTGGAATAGGGTCCATCCATCAGTGAACAGAGACTTTAAAAAGTTATGGGTAATGTCCTGGGTTGTGGTCTTCATTGATCTGCTACCTTGGAATTGAGAGAGGCAAGCTAGGCATGCCTTCCATTATGTAGAGATATAATATACACCCAGGGCTTTGCAGCATTGATGGTTTATTATCATAAGGAAAAGAAACTCACTGGAGAACAGAGCAGTCAGAGCAGTAGACAAGCTCTTAAAAGTTTATAAGTTGCCTGTAGAAAGTAAAGAAAGAAAATAACCATGTATTCCATTGCAATTGATTTCAACTCAGAAACCTCATGTTACCCCCAGGGCAATTCCAATTGCAGACAGGAGTGAGGAACATAGTCTGTAACAAAACACAGAGCTGTCAATTCAGCACTAGAAACAGAAAACAATACTTCTTTTTCTTTTTAATCCTCACCTGAGAACATGCTTTTATTGATTTTAGAGGGGAAAGGAGAGGGAGAGAGAGAAACATCGACGTGAGAATGAAAGATCGATTGGTTACCTCCCGCGCATGCCCCAAGAGGGGATCGAACCCGCAATTTGGGTATATGCCCTGACAGGGAATCAAACCTACAACCTTTCCGTGTAAGGGACAATGCTCCAACTAACTGAGCCACCCAGCCAGGGCAAAACCAATACTTCTTACATTTGTTGAAAAACTGATGTCACAGTAGTTAGAACTATTTAAAGATGGCAGGAGAGGAATTAGAAAATGGAAACATTTAGAAGGCGGTTGTCTCTTGGAAAGAGCACTGTACCAGGAGTCAGAAGACCTGAGCCAGGCCCTGACTGCTACTTACTTGTGATCACAAAGGACTGTCACTAACTAGCTACACCATGCACACCAGCTCTCTGAGACTCAGCTTCC